AAGTCGTCGTGCGTCCCGGAGCCGATGGAGGATGCCCCTCCGACGGGCGTCGAAACAAGTGCCTCCTCACGGAGGTGTAGTATGCCGAGCCGGTCGGCGACGAAGTCCAGGCTTCCAAAGAGGAAGGCCTGGGATGGCTCGAAGACGGATGGACCCCACATCCCCATAGGTGGGCGTGCAGGAAACTCCAGTGGCGGAAAAGTGGGCCATCCGATGACCAAAAAGTGTTGAACGTACAACGTCTTCCCCACAGACGCCGCCAACTGTCGGTGCAGAAAGTGACCAACACGTAAATATTTATAGTTTTGCCGTACGTTGTGATCGGATGTGGCCTAGCACTCAATGACACAGGGTTTATACTGGTTCAGACAATGTGCCCTACGTCTAGTTTGAGTCGGTCGGTGACTTTATTCCTGAGCCCAGGTGCTCGAAGTTTGCAGTGGGGTTACAAACGAGAAGGAGAAAGATAGGGGGTACAAGAGGTCCGGTCGGACTCTTGTCTGAAGGGCCAAGAGTGATGGGAGCTCCGCTATGTACTAAGTGTTTGAGCGTGTGCTCGAGGTTTGAACCTGGTATTTCTGTTGTGGTGTCCTGAATCGATCGTCCCTTTTTGGGAGAAATCGCATCCCCTTTTATAGATAAAGGGGATGACCTTACAAGAGAGAGAGAGAGAGGGTACGTATGCTAAGTCTTGTTGCCCACGCCATCGGGTACAAGATGATTGTAGGTGCCCACAACACTGTTAATGTCATATGCATGTGGGAGGTTGCGTCGTCTTCTTTCGGCATAGCAGATGTCGGTGCCTGTTATACTGTTGATGCCCAGAGGCATGTGAAGGGTTTTACCATATTTGCCTGGTAAGGTAAATGTCGGCGCCCATAATACTGTTGATGCCCAGAGACATGTGGGGGAAGCCTTACCGTGTTCGTCTGTTATGGGAGTTGATGGCGCCTACAACATTATAGGGCAAATGTCGGTGCCCGCAACACTGCTTGGGCTCTGATATGCCAGGAAGGTTACATGGTACCCTTCTAACATGCCCTGTTGGTATTGTTCTATAGGTGTACAGGGTACGTTGCTTGGTATTGCGGTTGACTTGAGTTTCCTGCCTTACTTTCTCTGTCTGTTTCCTGGTCCTTACCGAGCGGGCGTCCCCAGTCGGTTGGTTCTAGTCGGCTCTGTTTGCGCCAGTCAGTGAGGAGCTGTAAGTAGGGGTTCGGCGCTTTCCCGGTCGAAGAAGCGGGTTGGAGTCGGAATTGATGTTTTGGTCAGGCCTTCCGGAGGTGGGCCGATGTCGGAAGCGAGTGTTGTTCCTCCTTCGTGAGGCCTTCCGACCGGAGAGACGGGCTAGAGTCGGAAGCGGGCGCCGTTCCTCCTCGGCTAGACCTTTCGGTCGGAGATTGGATTGTCCTTCTGGGCTGTCGTTTAGGTGTTTGGGCCGGCCCATGAGTTGCGCGTTGTTCGCAACGTTGTCTACTGGGCCGAGACTTTGTTGGGAAGCCGGTCCATGAGGGACTCCGGGTTTATGAACCCGACACCTAGACTCTAATGGCTGTGTAGAGACACAAAAAAACTTCTTTTTTCTTATTCTCGAGTTTGGAATTGTAAGGACACGTGGATGACATATATCTTATCCATCTTTAATGCCAAAGGCGATTTTGTGCAGAGGGATGGCATATATTCCTTTATGGGAGACTTGAATGAACTATAAGCAACTCTCAAATATAATAGTTTTCTCTCTATATAAATTATTGAGGGCCTAAAATTTCATTAGTTATAATTGTTTATAGACAACTCACATAATAATTTTGTCGATAAATGACATGGGACCTAACACTATTGAAAACCCATTTTATTGTGCCACGGAGAGTGAAAATCTCTTCAATACTTTTCTATTTCTTATAAATACTTGTAAAGATCTTAATAATCATGGAGTACTTTTTGTGGACACATGTGTTTTTATATATAATGAGAGTACGATTTCATGTGCTATAATATGGAAATTTGAGATGAGAAAAAACTTAGAAAGATTTTTTGATAAAGTCTAAAAACATTTAGGCATGTTCGGTTTACATGCCACATCAGAGGTACAACATGCCACGATTTGCGGTGGACAATTCGTCTTCCACATATTTTGGCGTAAAAGTGGTTTTCGAAGGAAAACGTATGTCATGCCAAACTTGTAGCAAGACGAAAGTCATTTAAAACAACAACTCAAAACTTCTCTGACGTGTAGACCACGAGATGGATTTGTTAGTTGTCGACTTTACTACAGATGTTATCTTCTAGGTCCCAGTGGCTTGTAGATTTAGATCTAGGTACACTTCCATGGTTGTAGTGAATGAGTATGTATTTATTATTTAGAGACGATGACATGGGACCTAACACTATTGACAACTCATTTTTATTATGCAATGGAGATGAAACTGTTTCAATACTTTCCTATTTCTTGTAAGTACCTGAAAAGACTTACTTTAATAATCATTCAGTAGTTTTTATGGACACATGTGTTTCTATATATTGAGAGTATGATTTTCGAGTGTCATAATATGGAAATATGAGATGAGAGAAAACTTAGAAAGATTTTATGATAAAGTCTAAAAAAACGTGTTGGGTCTATGTTCTCAGAACGCCGCATTGGAGTTATAACATGCCACGGTTGCGGCAGACGATGCGTCTTCCACATATTCGGCTGTAAAAGTGGTTTTCGAAGGAAAACATGTGGCATGCCAAACTTGTAGCAAGACGAAAATCATCAAAACTTCATTGATGTGTAGGCCACCAGATGGATTTGTTATTTATCGACCTTACTAGAGATGTAATCTTCTAGGTGTTTGTGGCTTGTAGCTGGGTACATGTGTATGGTTGAAGATTTTGGATAAGCATGTTTTTACTTTTTAGAGATGATGATGACGACGTGAGCATAGCTAATCATCAGGGGCCGATTGAATCCACCTAGCTAATACTAGCAATTAATAAATTGCAAAAATAAATTTTTGTCTTCTTATATCCTACCTGTATCTCTATCTATATGTCATATACCAATATAGTAAATAGAAAGGAAAGAATATTATAGAGAACATCAGACAGCAGAGGCAATCCAACGGTGAGAGAAATCGAGAAACAGCTCTCAGACATCCTCCGTTTCCATCGCGACCACGCGCTCGCCGCCGCAATCGACCCGACCCGACCAAGCTCCCCGTCCCAACAAACCCTCACAATTCCCTGTTCCCCTATCGCCGCCGCCGTACACCGGAGCTCGGGCTCGCCGCGTGGGGAACCGGCCGTTTCTACTTCGTTGAAGAGTACAAGCGGCTTCCCACTTCCAGAGTTCCACCTCAATTGCGCAGGGGAAGGGAGGCTCCCAACGCATCCCTGCCGAGCTAAACGCCGCAGGTCCCATCCTATCCCGGCCAAACCCTCTAGCCACCAGCCGCTCTCTCTCTCTCTCTCTCTCTCTCTCGGTCCAGTGGGGGCTGCTATCTTCCAGGTGAGAGCTGTTACTTCCCGTGCTAGCGATTCTGGTTTCCCTGCATGATGGATTCTGTCGTTCTAAGAAAGATTGTTTTTTTTTGTTCTAATCAGACTCAATTGCTTAAATTAGCTGTGGATTTTTATGCTATTCGGTGGTGTTAACCTAATCGTCAAGCCCTATACGTTCACGGCTCGATTAGGGTGGGGTGATTGATATTTATTATTTTCAAAAAGGGTCGTGGTTCAACTTTCCATTGAATCCTCATCACCCAAGTGACATTCGCTTCTGCACTGGGTTGTCCAAATTTGTTTGTCATATCGTGTGAGGTGCATGATTGGTAACAGCTCTGTAGAGAATTATATATGCATTATTGTTCAAAGACTTGGGTGGTGCATTGTGACACATCTTAGCTCGGAATGTTTAGGTTTGGGCAGGCAGTGAGAAGCTCCATTGCAGATACCTGTTTTTGGGAGTTCAAAATAGCTGGTCACTGGAAATTTATGTGGTACCTAACTTGGTTGATTCTGGAAACTAGGCGACTTGTTTTGTATACCGCTGCTTTAGAGATCTGTAACCATGACAGTATTGCCGTTGCTGTTCCTTAAGTGATTCGAGAGAGGGTTCTGTACTTATGTTAGTTGATGTGCATTGTGTTTCTCTGCAGGAATATTGGAGATGTGCCTTCAACACTCTAGGGCTCAATTATCTCCAGATGAACAACTCGCTGCAGAAAAAGTTTTGCCTTGTATTGCAAGCCAATTGAGCTGTACAATATTATCCAGAGGCGAGCCGTTAAAATGTAAATTTCATCTTACAATTGCAATCCTGTCATAACATTGTTCACATATTGTTTCATACCAGTAATTGTTTCCTGTGCATGCTATGAGATACCAATAATAATTATTCTCTATATTTGGCAGCCCCTTTTATTCAAAGATCCCTTCTATATAAGATACAGGCAAGGAGAAAAAGAGGTTCGGCCCTTAAATGAACTGTCAAATATTTTGAACATTTGCACCTCGCTATGTACCGTTCCATGTTCAATTCAATAGCTTGATAAGTGAGGATCAATATGGTGCCTATGTCCCTTATGTTTAATGTCATTGCATGGGCATGGGCACAGCCAAGAGTGCTCAGCACCAGTGGCACAAATTACCAATTTAGGATTAGGATTATAGTTTCTTTGTTAGTTACTTTTTTAGCTGTCGCCGTTGTAAGATCATTTGAGGCTTATTGGAGTTTCTCTTCCAGTTTCCTTTACTATTCCTTAGGAACTATGTACATAGAATAAATAATATTAATTGTTGGTGTCTTCTTCTCATGATTCTGTTTTTACTTAGCTACAGTTCCAAAGATTGTAGGATTAGTCTATTCTTTTGGTGTCAAATGATTGGAGTTACCGTCATTTATTTGTTTGTGTGGGAAATCTGGAATCTTTTATTGCTCTGAATGCCCAACAGCTAAATAAGGGATTGCTCTGAATTTAGTCACACTTTTTCATTAATAAGACCAATCATAAATGTCAATGAGGTTTGGAGAAGAGAAGAAACATCAATAACCAACAATCCACACACTGAACTGATATGCTTCTATTTTTTATACTTCCTAGTTTTCAACTTTTAGTAGGTGTCTTAACTAGATGGCTTCATATTCTTCATATGCATAGTAAATAATTACTCAGGTGTTATCTTTTTGATAACACCTGAGTAATTATTTACTATGCATATGAGGTGGTTTGGCCATGTCCAAAGGAGACCTCCAGAGGCACCAGTGCATTGTGGAGTCCTAAACCAAGCTAATAATATGAGGAGAGGTAGAGGAAGACCGAAATTGACATGGGGGGAGGCAATAAAAAGAGATTTGAAAGCTTGGGATATACCTAGAGATTTATGTTTGAATAGGAGTACTTGGAAAACAGCTATTGAAGTGCATGAACCGTGACTTGGGGCTCTTGGTGGGTTTCAACTGTAGCCTACCCCAACTTGCTTGGGACTGAAAGGCTATGTTGTTGTTGTTGTTGTTATCTTTTTGATGAACCACCTGCACTGTTCAAACAAGAAACTTGTTTGTTGCCGTTATTGGTCTGTGTTTGATAGTTTATCTCTACCAATGCAGGATTCAAATAACTGTATCACTTTCTGCAAGTACAAATACACAAGCACAGAATATCTTTCCCCTTTATGTACTTTTAGTTAGACCTACCAGTAATATTTCGCTTGAAGCGGTAAGTGTAACTCTCTTTAGTTTGTGAAAACGAGTAATGGGTTTTTAAGTTTGCCTACTATAGGATCTTGTTTCTGATGCATGATTCATTTTTCAGCATTCTCCGATATATCGATTCAGTAGGGTTTGTATGCTTACAAATTTTAGCGAATTTGGAAATAAAGGCAAAACTGAAGCCACATTCATCATCCCTGACGTGAAGAATTTGTCAACCTCCCGTGCTTGCAACCTTAACATTATATTTATTAGCTGTGGTAAGTTGTGCATCTTATGTGGGTATTTGTCCTTTTCACTCATTTGCTGGTCATCAAATTCTTCTCTATTTGAATAGGGCAAGTAGGACAGATTATTGGTGAAGATAGCTACTCTGGGAATGATGTGGAAAGATCTTCCTCCAAAGTAAGTTCTTGTGGACATTTTATGGCTGATGATCAGCATGTGCTGCCACAATAAATTACTTTTTTTTTTTTACAGAATGGCACAGTTGGCTAATAAAAATATTTTAAGACATAGCAATCAACAAAACACAAGTTAAATCGCAGAAAGTTCTCAAGAAACCTATTAATATGTAGTTAGTGGTGACTTGAACCTCTGCCTTTGTGGCAGAGATTTGACTTCCACTCTGTTTGAATTAACCGTTTGTGCATTGCTTCTTTATATTGTAGGAGGTCTAATTGTCTTCTCAAATACCTAGCTCTCACACCACCTATACCCAAGAGGTGGGTGGGGAAGCTTCTTTCAGTCTAACACCTGAGGCTTCTGGGTCTGCTTTCTTCTGAACTCATTGGACTAAACTGGCTCAATATGTTCCGAATCCAATTCATACTTCATATTACTCCCTCCGTTCCAAATTATAAGTCGTTTTGGCTTTCCTAGGTACATAGATCTTGCTATGCACCTAGATATGTATTGTGTCTATATAAGTGGCAAAAATAATGTACCTAGAAAAGCCAAAACGACATAATTTGGAACGAAGGGAGTATCAAGCATCCAGCTCAGCCCTTGAAAGCAGAAGTTACCTAAAGCTTCTGTAAACCACAGCCGTGTGCAAAGCCTTCTCGTTCATGTGGATTTGTGGAAGAAATCAATCTGTTATAAATTTGTTACTCAAAACTGGAAAATTTGAGAGTACCGTGTCCATTTTACAGAATCTTTTGCTCTGTTATTTTAGCAAAAATCTTCTATGTTGCTCAGCTGTACTGTAATTGAAATGATCAGATGAACAGAATATTCTGACATTATGTGATCACTCATCTAGCCGGGATAGCATGTTGATAAGTCCTTTTTTTATTAGTAATCGGATTAACCTTTCTTCCTGTCAAGCGGATCCTCATTGTTGTTTTACCATTTTTTACAAAGTACATAATTAATTCATTATGTTAGTATCTTAAAACAATTATTAAGAATATAGGCTGTTGAAAGTAAACCAACTGTAGACGTGTATTCTTATTGAATTGGCTAACAGCCATTTTTGCTATGCATTTAAACAGAGCTTGAAGGGAAATGTTCCTGGGGTAAAATACCGACTAATGTACTTGCATCCTCTTTGGAGAAATGTGTGACTTTAAGTACAGGAGATGCTGTGGATTTGGCTTCTACAGTTACAATGAACCCAAGCTTCTTAGAGGTATGTTAAATTAAACTGTTTGTGCTTCTGCATTTCATGTAAATTTCGTCTTGTTCTTTTAAATATAGTATCACAGAGCAAATAACAGAGAAAATTTCTCTCTTTGTTCACAAGAGGAGGGATATTTTTGTATAAGCAAGATGTGTTGTGGTATTTTACTATTTTGGGACCTACTGTTCCAATGATATAGGTTACAGATTTCCACATCTTAAAGTATGTGTGGCAATCTATACGAACTAACTCTTCAACTTAGCAATCCATGTCATAAATTACTTGAATTTGATGGTACAGGTTGGAATCTGCATAGCAGGAAACATTCCATCGATTCTGCTTTACTTTCCTCCTTGTTTTGTTTCTCATGTTTCAGAGACTGCTATCTTCTCTGCTTTTTGTTGAAAGTTACATATTTTTTTAATGCATGCAGCCAAAATTTCTGGAACAAGACAGTTGCTTGACATTTTGCTCTCATAAGGTTGATGCTACGGTAAGGTCCTTCCCATTTCTTCCTTCCATGTGTAATCTATTAAGTATCTTCAAATTTAGAGGAACTTGCCCTGCCCCACCAATCTTCTAGCTCAATTTACTTCTTTCAAATAAAAAGAGACAATAATTTTGGAAAAAAAATCAACTTCTAAGAGGGGCAAAATCCAAAAGTTAATGAACTTTTAATGCTGAAATAAAGATTTTGCAAATCACTGTTCTGTTACACATGTAGGGAACTGAAGCCTGTTGTCAGTTGTAATTGTAACTAATGAATTTTAGTAAATTTTGTCTGTAGGATGCGACACCTTCAGTTTTGCTGAGATTACTAAGCTCTATTGTTGCAGGGTTCATACCAATTACAAGTATGCATATCCGCAGAAGAGGCTGGTGCAAGAGAATTACTTTTGTCTCCTTATTATTGTAATTACTCATATGATAATGTCCCACCTTCATTATTACCAGAAATCATAAGGTAACTATAATGCATGCATAGCCCCCTTTCTAGAATTTAGTAACTTCTCTGTCCTTATTCTTGCTGCATCCTTCAATTTCTCTCTACATATTTTGCAAACCAGGTTTCGTTTGGTCACCCAACCAGTAGTGATTGTACGTGCAGTTTTCAATTGCTGGTTCTTGTTAAAGAACATGACATGAAGCTAATAGCCTGTGCTGCATTGGATTGCCTTGACCACATAGATGATACCTTAACATCACCTAGTGTCTTAGTATTTGGTGCATCCTTTACGTCAATGCTTTATCAAATAATTTTGTGTTGCGCAGGTTGAGGGCTGGAAATGTACTTTTTAATTACAAGTACTACAATAATACAATGCAAAAGACTGAAGGTTATCTCTCTCCCCCTTCCCCTCGTCTGCCTCGATTGCATCCACTTTAGCTGTTGCCAGGCTGCATCATGCATTCTCTTGTTTCTAGTTCCATGTATTTGTTCCTTGTACCGCCTTATTCTCTAAACCTGTGTGCTAAGAATCACAGAGAGAAATAGCTTACTTCACTATTCATTCTACAGTTATTAGGATGTACAAACACACAGACAAAAAAATGTTTAATGCTTGGGACATCTATCGGTGGACAAGATTTCTTATTGCTTCTTCTTTGTTGCTTTTATGTTTCACTTTTTCTTATACATCCCATTGATATGTTCTTACCAGTTACTGAAGATTTTTCCTGCCCATTTTGCTTGGTACGATGTGGAAGCTTCAAGGTAAAAACTAAAGCAGAGTTCCCTTTTTATTACTGTTCGTATGTCACTTAGTGCTGCTATATGTGGTCAATCATGTCAGATCCTCACCTGCTACACTTTATGATAAAGCACATATCCTAAAGTTATTTCACACCTCATAATTAGTTTGTTCTACATTCACTTTGCCTTTCTATCAAGCTGTATCTAATATCATTACTATGGTGATTCTAGGGCCTGGGATGCCACTTAAACTCAACACATGACCTGTTCCACTATGAGTTCTGGGTATGTAAACTTGTGGAATACCCATTGCAAAATCTTCCTGATCTTCGTAATTTAATATTTTTTTTTGTCATACACAGATATCTGAAGAGTGCCAGGCTGTGAATGTTAGTCTGAAGGCTGATGCCTGGAAAACTGAGGTAATTGGTGATATGATATTGGACTGTTATAGTCAAATATATTGATAACATTAGAGGCATAATTGATGAACTTAATTCTACTTTGCATGTGTTCATGATACCCCTTAGTGTTCTTCTATCCGTGTCTTCACTACTGCTGTGCTGTTCTTAGCTTTGTGTTTTCTTTGTTGAGTGCAGAATCAAATGGCACATGAACAATCGATTAGTATTTCACGTTAGAAAATTAACTACCTTTCCCTAAAATGTCATCAATAATATACTGTATGCCTTACTGGATTTTCCGTGGGATAAGGTTCTACATGCTTGCCATTAGGATAGTCATGCATGGTGGATACTGTTTATTTATTTAATCTGGAGAACTTTGTATTTATTATTAACTAATGGGTCAGTTATATCCAGTTTGTGGTAGAGGGAGTTGATCCAAGGCATCAAACATTTTCCTACTGGTATGCTTGTTCTCCCATCCCCCAATGATGCTTTATATGTTTTGTTTCCTAATTTTGTTCAATCAGCTCTAGGTTTAAGAAGCGTAGAAGGTTGGAAACCACAGCTAAGAAAATCAGGCATGTTCACCCACATATTATGGAATCAGGATCACATGAAGATGCCCAGGCAGCGTCTGAAGACGACTATGTGCAAAGGGAGAACGGTACATTTGCATCTTGTGATCTCTTAGGAATATTTTGCATTTGTGCTCACTACTGCACTTTTTAAAGCTGCCGCAGAAAAGTTAGTCAAGAACAACAGCAGCAACAAAGTTTTTTAATCCCAAGTAGGGTAGTAGAGATGCAACCCAACAAGTGCCACCAATAAAGATGATAAGGAAAAACTGAGCTGGCTACTAATTTGGTTTTCAACCATGGTCAATAGTTCATTTTCAAATCAAACTAGGTTCAAACGCCTCTTTCTTCTCTACACTTTATGTGTAATTTGATACACAATAAATATCTCTATTTGCAACTTAGATCTAAAGATAAAGAAAAGCAGTTAGCCAATTGCTGAAATTTCTTAAAGCTGTTCTGTCAAAAACAATCTTATCATCAACTACACATCTACTTGACGTGGCTTTGAAATCTGCCGTTCTCCTATCTTATTGGTTTGGTTAAATATATGTTTGGTCTGATGGTAAATCATGCAAATCCACTGGGTGTTGTCTTCTTCCTTTCTTCAATGCAGCAGTTCGTTGTTGTCACTTGTCACCCAGAGTGTTGGATAATCTCACATTGTGCATAAAACCCTTCTTGAACACTTGATGCACTGCAATACTGCATTATAGGAGCAGTGAAAGTCGAACCTTTTACTTTTACTAGGCGAAAAGGGCTGCTGAGCTACTGTCTGTTCAACTAGTTATTTCCATTTTTTAATTATTATTATTACTCCGCATGCCGAGAAAAACCTGCATTGTTGCTTCCTGCCTGCTCTAACATTTTCTGCATCTGTTATGTTCCCTACTTTTCCTCTGATGGTAAAAACTTTTCAGGGTTTTCTGTAGCACACGCTTCAGTTGACCCTAGTCAGCCTGTACATGGGAGCAATCTTTCATCACCAACAGTGCTACAGTTTGGGAAATCGAGGAAGCTATCTGTTGAGCGATCTGACCCCAGAAAGTAATGTTTTTTTGTTGTACCAAATATTTTTTATTTGATGTGCATCTATTGGAACATGCTTAACTAACTGTTTGCTTGTGTTTATATTATTTGTCAGTCGACAACTGCTGCAAAAGCGCCAGTTCTTCCATTCACACAGGGCACATGTTAGTAAAAACCAATCACCTCTTTCCATGTAACTTTCGTCCATGTGTGCGCATATTGTGGAACTTAGGCTGTATTCAATTGTTGTTATTATTATATTACTTTTGCCTACTTTCTGATTCCACACCAATGAAATTACTGAATGCATATGTTCGTGGTAGTTCTGTGATAGTTCTGGTCCCTCTTTCTTGTAGATTTTTGGCACTGCATATTTTTTTTTTTTCTCGAACACGGGAGAGCTGCGTATCATTGTATTAATAGAAGAAAAAGAGTCATACATAGACCCGAACCCCACCCACCCACCCACCACTACATAGACACTGGATCACCGGTTAAGAAAGACAAAAAGACGACCCTACAGCAGCCCATTAGATTGATCCTCCAGCAGAGCAGGGAAATTCCCTTGGCTCCTGCTAGGCTCCACCAATGAGCCTCTTTCCTAGCCAGAGCCAGAGCCAAGTTAACATTTGGGGTTGCCCCATTAAAAACACAATCATTTCTATGTCGCCAGATACTCTAGGCTCCCAAAATGACTAGGGAATTCAGACCCAACCTATAATCTCCACTAGCAGCAGGCACTGTGTATTCTTGTTATTAGAAAACTCGGCCGGTAGGGGAAAGACCGCCCCCACGGTATTTTACTTAAGAGAAGAGCTCAACCGGAGCTGGCATGAGATAGGCCACAAAACCCCTCCCCCCCCTCTCTACATGGGGATGCCAGCTCCTATGGTTTGTGCCTTAACCCGTGCTTTGAGGCCCAACCCACTACCAGTCCCTTACACAAGGGCCCGTTCACCCATGCCGACCAGGAGAAATCAGCGAGTGACCTTTTTTACCCAGCCTGAAATTCGCGCTCCCACGGGGATTCAAACTCAGGACCTGGGATGCTACTAAGGTCACTTCGACCACTAGGCTACAGGCTCCTTTGCTATCCTTGTTATTACAACTTGGACTCTTTGTGCATTAATGCCTTCATTTGAGGACTAGTTTGATCACATTAATGCACTTTGTTGTAGCCAATGTCATTGGAACAAGTCTTCTCAGATCATGATAGTGAAGACGAGGTTGATGATGATATTGCTGACTTTGAGGATAGAAGGGTAAGATGAGACTATTTTGTTCTTCTCTTTTGAAACATAAAATATTTTTTTAATCATTGCTATTTTAACGGCTGAAAAGCAGATGCTTGACGATTTTGTTGATGTTACAAAAGATGAGAAGCTTATTATGCATATGTGGAATTCATTTGTTCGAAAACAAAGGTCAGTCATATGTCCCCACTATGTCCTCCGTTATTCTAACTATCACGATAGATAGGATGTTTTTGAAGACCTGCTATTTCAAAAAAAAAAGGTTTATACTTCATGGTGATGTTTTTTCTGTATGGATCACCTATTGCCTTGTTTTTAGAAATGCATACTATTTTGCACATGCAGGAGGTTTGTAGCTTGTACAATCTTAGGTAAAAAACACTATTGTCAGCTACTATGAAAAAGCAAGAATTTAGTTCAAATTTTAGTTATACATACTTACATTGACCCTAGTCCCTTTATCCAACAACAACAACAACAATAACATAGCCTTTCAGTCCCAAGCAAGTTGGGGTACGCTTGAGTTGAAACCCACCAAGAGCCCAAAGTCACGGTTCAGGCACTTAAATAACTGATTTCCAAACACTCTTATTCAAACATAGATCTCTAGGTATATCCCAAGCTTTCAAATCTCTTTTTATTGCCTCCCCCCATGTCAATTTCGGTCTTCCTCTACCTCTCCTCATATTATTAGCTTGGCTTAAGGCTCCACAATGCACTGGTGCCTCTGGAGGTCTCCTTTGGACATGGTCAAACCACCTCAACCGATGTTGGACAAGCTTTTCTTCAATTGGTGCTACCCCTAGGCGATCACGTATATCATCGTTCCGAACCCGGTCCATTCTTGTGTGACCACAAATCCATCGCAACATACGCATTTCTGCAACACTCAGTTGTTGAACATGTCGAATCTTTGTAGGCCAACATTCTGCTCCATACAACATAGCCGGTCTAATCGCCGTTCTATAAAAGTTGCCTTTTAGCTTTTGTGGTACCCTCTTGTTACAAAGGATGCCAGAAGCATGTCGTCACTTGGTCCACCTTGCTTTGATTCTATGAATAACGTCCGCATCAATATCTCCATCCTTCTTAGCATCGATCCCAGATACCGAAAGGTATCCTTCTTAGGCACTACTTGACCTTTCAAACTCACATCTCCCTCCTCCTGTGCAACTCCACTAAAGTCGCATCTCATGTATTCGGTTTTCGTTCTGCTCAATCTAAAACCTTTAGACTCAAGGTTCTGCCGTCATAACTCTAGTTTTCTATTTATTCCCGCTTGGCTTTCGTCCACTAACACTACATCATCAATGAACAACATACACCAAGGATATCCCTTGTATGTTAAGGTAACCTCATCCATTACCAAGGCTAAGAGATATGAGCTTAAGGTGACCCTTGATGAAGTCCAATTTTAATCGGGAAGTAATCTGTGTTACCATCGTTTATTCAAACACTAGTCACAACATTGTTGTACATGTCCTTGACGAGGGTCACGTACTTTGATGGGACTTTATGTTTGTCCAAAGCCCATCACATAACATTTCTTGGTATCGTGTCATAACCCTTCTCCAAGTCAATGAAAACAATGTGGAGGTCCTTCTTACGCTCTCTAAACCGCTCCGTAACTTGTTTTATTAAGAAGATTGCTACGTGGTTGACCTTAGGGCATGAAATCAAATTGATTTGTTGATATCTGCGTCGTTTCGCATGCGCTGCTCGATGACTCTCTCCCATAGCTTCATAGTGTGGCTCATCAACTTAATTCCCGATAATTAGTACAACTTTGGATATCTCCCTTGTTCTTGTAGATTGGTACCAATATGCTTCTTCTCCACTCCTCAGGCATCTTGTTCTATCGAAAGATATCGTTGAACATCTTGGTTAGCCATACTATAGCTATATCCCCGAGACATCTCCACACCTTGATTGGGATACCATCAGGGCCCATCGCTTTGCCCCCTTTCATCGCTAGTCCCTCTATTCAAACAAGCCTAAATTCAGGGATGGAAACCATACCCGAAAATCCTGCGTACGGGGGCTTGTTTCCGTTTACGACTATAAAAATTTGGATTTTCTAATTTCTTTCAGTACCATATTGCAGTCACTATTGAATAGTTAAACTTTGAAATCAGAGAAATTTCTGACCAACCGGCAGTTGTTTTCGTATGGATGATATCGTTCCCGACTGTTTTCATCTCTACCTAACAATTCCACTTGATCTCCGTTATCACCTCCACTGGTGTAGTAGTCTTGCACCTTCATTGATCCATATATCTGCCATGGTTGCCTGCCATGATTAATTGAACTCCTTCGTTGTTCCAGATTCATAGACAATATTCAATTCATTGTTTTTTTGTTTGTTTTATTACTTTTTAGCTACTGAAAGTGGTAATTGCAGGGTGCTAGCTGATGGTCACATACCTTGGGCCTGCGAGGCATTCTCCAGATGCCATGGAGAACAGCTTGTACAAAACCCTGCCCTTCTGTGGTGAGTGGCTGCTGTAGAAATATAGATACATTAAGGCTCTGTTTGGTTCGTTCCCTCAGCTGGCCACACTATGCATGTTTACATATCTTATTGCAATTTTCTCGCTTGATGAACAGGGGCTGGCGATTTTTCATGATTAAACTCTGGAACCACAGCCTTCTTGATGCCCGCGCCATGAATACTTGCAACACAATTCTTCAAGGCTACCAAGACGGAAGTTCAGACCCCAAGTAAATTTAATACCTTGTTGGCCAACTTGTGTAAAATGGCATTGGGTAGATCTGCCAATTCCAGGGGTTCAAGTAACCCCAAAATAACTATGGGAAGAATTGGAATGGACCATAGCAGCATTTGTTTTAAGGTTTAAGGGCAGCTCCCCCCACCTGGAAAGAAACTAGGAGGGCGAAGCTGGATCCTTGGCCGAGACAATCATTGTTTCATTCATGACTCAGTTGTATTGATTGATACCAGTTGTTGGCAGGTGGAGTCGTATGGATGATAATGATAAATGAAGTGATTCACCGCAGTCCTTATATTCCATTCCATGTATGCAGATGAAGCTGAGCCTTGCGGAGCATCTGTTACTTGTGTATGCAAATGATAACTGCCAAATCTAAGAGATATCCTTCTCAGCATCCTTAATATGTTTGAAAAGTTACAGAAAGTTATTTATTTTGGGACGAATGGAGTATATAGTAAGAGGCCTCATATAGTAACCACCCTTCAGAGGTACAATCGGCTGCCTTTCCATAGTTATTTCTGGCCTAGGGATATTTATCTAAGGTTATGAATGGACAGATGTTTCTTTATATAGTACCACCCTTCAGGGGTATAATCGGCTCCCTTTCCATGGTTATTTCTGATCTAGGGATATCTTCTTAACGATAAGGTTCTGGTATCTGGAAAAGAGAGGAAAATGCTGTTCAAAGTTCAGAAGATTGATTAATTAGCTCATCCGGCTAGCATCAGACTTCCAAAATCGAACTCCTAGAAAAGTATCTCATACCTTTTCTGCAAGCTATTCCTACGAATCACAAGACGCTCTACCAACTCAATCCATACGAACGAATGAGAATCCTATGTTTTTGTTTAATCCAACGAGGCCTGAGAGAATCGTACCGTTCGTGCATGCGATTTGAATTTTCAAAGTACGGAGTAGGAGCTACTCCGTAAAAATTATACGTACTAGTCGATTGCGAGCCGAAGAAGTCTCGCAAAATTTATGAACCGGAGAAGATGGGTGCGTGCACACGTGGTCCTCCCGTCCCGTCCGTCCTTTTGATTCGCAGCCTGGCGGCCGAACAACGCGCGTCGCCGGCTGACGCACCACGAAGGCGACCCGCCGGATGGCGGATATACAGTGCTGACCGGTGGTGGTCGACGAAAACGCAGCAGCAATGTTTGAGGAGAGTCGTCCGTGCACGAACGGAAGGAAGGTAGAGTCGCACGCACTTTACAGCTAAAGCTTGAAGCAGCAGTATGGCGGAGTTTTGTTTGAATGGGCTGCATCCGGACCTCCTCGAGTGCTCCAAGGGCTGAATTGCCTTTTTTTTTATTTTTGTTGGCACAATTTTTTTTTATTAATCTCATTTTTTTTTCAATAACATAGTAGATGCGCCATTCTATTCATACATACGGAGTACTCCTAGCGCAGTTTGGTCAGCACTTTTCTTGTGTTTTTAATCGTAGTAGGAGCACATGGGCATCGGGTCTCTCCAACGTGTGGTTTTTGGCTAGTCCTATATATATTATTACTAAATGCAAATATAGAACCAAGTTCTTTACATTGTGGATTTGATTCCATATAGAGAGCATGTCCATCCATGGAGTCAGATTCTATTCAATGAAGACATACTAATACTACCAACGAAAGGGATTAGAAGAGTACATTTTTTTCTCTCATAATAATATGGCTCCTGTCTATGGATTCACATCAGTAGTCCTACAGCTTGGTCGTAACCGATCGTAGATTATAAGCCAGAGTAGTATTTTTCTCTCACACCAAACCAGCTAACAGTAATAATCCACGATCGTTTCAGCCGAAACGAACAGTCTGCTAAACGTTTGAGCTAGTATAACAGGTGACATCAAATCAGCTAGAGGTCCCATCTTCGGACCAAGGCCGTAGATTCTCCATTGGAGACGTCCTATCTTCGTGAGCACACGATATATACATTCTGGTATCATCACGTAGCCAAGCCAAGCCAAGCATATCAACCACAAGTTTTTCTCGCAGTTTTTTGCACGCCTTGCAGTCGCCATGCATGACCAGAAGAAACCGGACCCTACACGACAACACCGGCACTACTTTCAAATGGTGAGAGTTGCTGTTGCCGGGTGACTAAGCCATACGTACACTGTATATATACATAGTCTCAATCTTTTCATATTATTCAAGTGTGCAATGATGGACTGATGGTGCCCGTGTGCCGCGATCACTCGTCCATTCGTCCTGTACGGTGCAGGGTGGTTAAGTTGTTAACCTACTCCGATCCTCCAAATCGATCGAGCCGCAGTCCGTCCTACTTGGATTCTACCAGACCGCAACCACCCCAACAAGTTTCCCTCCATCACTGTGTGTCGATCGCGCGCCCTGGCCCTTTCGTCACCTCCTCTTCTTTGTCACCGGCAGGCGGCGGCTGTCTGCTAGCCCATTATTCTCTGCCGTCAGTTTCATCATCTGCTAACCAAGCCGCGATTATTCTACCCTATTCTCTCTCGATGTGGAAGGACGGTGGCGCACAGACCGGGCGCAGGAACGCACTACAGCTAGCTATATTTGCAGTTCCACTCCACGGCGACTTTTTTTTTTTGCCTCTTCTGGAAACTCGCCTTTGTCAGTGCCTGGCAATCTGGCATGCACACCAATAGAGGTTCTGGTAGGAGGAGAAGATGTAACGAATCTTTTTTTTAGAAAGAAAGGAAAGGCAGAGAACAAATTAAAACAGTTCGGTTACTCCTGGAATCGAAACAAAGGCGCTTTTGACGAAACCGGCGAGCGAACTAGCTGGGCTCGCACGGGCCCGCACGGCTGCACCGGAACCGGATGTCTCACCACTCACCAGCTATAGCTTCCTTTGCTCCTAATCTCACTCAAATGGGGAGCGCTTTCGGCGTCACCAGGCTGATCTCCACTCCCCCACGTTGCCGTCATCCACGTGTCAGTGCCCACGGACATATGCTCACGCTAACTGACCGGAAAGGAAGCAGCAGGTGATGCGGTGCATGCAGACACAGAATCACAATTCATAGTGGGATTGTTCACTCTGCAGTGGTAAGTAGCAGAGCAGCGACCACCGACACCGCGGCGGGTTCGCGGAAGCCGAACTGATGCGTGCCTGACGAGGCCATCGACAGCGACTGCCCGGCGAAAGTAGCGGCAGCGGCCACGGCAGCAGCAGCAATAATGGGATCATTCCGTTCGGGCGGGCGGGCGGGTGTGGTGCACTGGTGCGGCAGTCGCGGCACTGTGCGCCGCGGGGACAGGATCGCGCGCGTCACTGGCTCGCCAACTAGGCTGGCGGGTGCCGAGTGGAGAGGGGAAGGATAGCGGCGCTGTTTGCGCAACCACCAAGGAAAGGACGGCGGCCGGCTGGCCGGCCGGGGAAACGCCAAGCCTTTGCCCGTTGCCGCCGCCACCCCCCCCCCCGCTAGGCATGCGCGCCGTCGCCGTGCGGTGGGGCGGGAAGGGCGGACGAAGATGATATCCTGCCCCCCCTCGGCTTGCGTCCGTGCGCCTTCTGCTTTACTGTGTACTGTACTAGCGTGCACGTCTCTCGGTCAGAAACCACAGCATTCTTTGGAGGCTGTGGGGCTGGCTTAGGGTACGGCGCCATTTGTTTTGCTGGTTTGTTGACCTCACGCGCCGCCTTTCGGACCAGACCTTCAGACGGTAGGGTGAGGAGCAAGATATGGCACTGTAGAGGGTATAACCCCAGCTACATGGCAAGGGACATGGACCGAACGGTCATGGACGGTTCAACCCAGCAGATTAAGACTTACGGCGCACGGCACTGTTCGACGTACACTGACATCTACAAGATTTGATCGGGTACTACAGATATTATAATCTAATACTTGGCATGTAACCGACTAGGATACCTTCCTTGTAACCCACTCCTCCAGAGTATATAAGGAAGAGTAGGGGTCCCTTAATCGGCATGCCCCATCCCACATCCAATCACACACGCAATATCATAGATAATCAATACAAACCACAAACCACAGGAGTAGGGTATTACGTCGTGCAGACGACCCGAACCTGTCTAACTCTTGTGGCTCTGTTGCCTTCTTGTTCTTGATTACGCGCACATCTGCTGATCAATTTACCTTCGCGGGATACTCCTCGTAGGACTGCCGACGATATTCTGCCGACAGTTGGCGCGTCAGGTAGGGGTGTGCGTGCTATTTTCATGACGAACAAGATGGTACACTTTTCAAGCTCTTCGTCCTCTCCAGTGCCTGGCCAGATCTTTATGGTCAGATCGATCTCTTCGGTCATCAATGTTGACGGAGACGGAGAGATCTTCAAGCCGGCGCAGATCGATTCTGCGCCGACCACACCAACGCCTGCAACAGCAGATCTGATCTCGGAACCGCCTCCGAGGTCGTCTTCACCAACAACTCGTCGCCTGCTGTCCCGCTACTCGAGGAAGCAGGTCGGCAACGATGATCTGATCGCATCCATCAATCAGGTCAGCCAGAAGCTCGCCGACTGCCTCTCCCTCACAGAATCGGCTCTGACCACTCCGGTTCGGCGCCGACCACCTTCCGGTTCCGATCTATCGGAAGCTGATTGGGAAACTCCAGGGGATACGGCCACCATCCATCAGGATGCAGAGGAACCATCTCGAAGACCACCCAAGATTCAGTTGTAACACGACATGTCAGGCCCGTGATCTACAGTAACATGCAAGGCTAATTTGCATGTACGGGCGTATGCATGTATACAGCATATGCATGTACGAAGGATGCAAGCCCACACGCGCCAAGCTGCTTGATAACGAGCTAAGTCGTGTTTCTATTTTTAGATTAATCTTTCTATTGTATGTATGCTTCTACATCTGCCTTCATGATTATCCACAGCTTCCACAGTGACACAACGTCTTGGTGCAACTCATCTCAACCTCGTGGCAGCATATCGCGGCATCACCTGTACGACACGTGAGTAACCGATTCGGCCGGCCTATCACGAAGGCTATATGAAGTTAGTAGCTGCGGCGTGAGTTGTCAACCAGGAACCGCAAGGAATTCGCCGACACGGCCTGGCAAACTAATCAAGATGTGGCTCCATGTGGGCATGCACCACGATCGGTTGGACGCCGCCACACGGACTTCGCCTCCCCACGTGGATGGACTCCGTCAAGGCTCCGATTATGCCTGTTTGACTACGACTCCGCGCAGCCATCCGAGCTACCGAGCAAGCCGCCCGAGCCGCTAAGCGAGCTGCTCGAGTCATAAGCGAGCCACCTACTCGGACATCGTGACACGCTACGTCAACGATCTCTCTGAATCTGATCGGCCAAAGGCCGACCAGCAGCATGAGGATGACGTCGCTCGGACTACTCAATCCGACCACCTGCCATGTCGCAGTGATGATCGCCGCGAAGAATGGTGCTGTGACAACCGCGACCGCCGCCATAATGACAGGCCGAAAAGCTCGAGGGCCGGACAATTTCGTCAACGCTGACCAGATAACGCCTTACGCCACCGACCAGATATTCTGTCTAAAGCTAAGTCACGCTTTAATATTTTTCTAAATATTTCCCAACCTTCATATATCTCCATGATGCTTCGCCGAGCTGCTTTCTCCATGTTTGTTCTCCAAACGATTTTCTTTCATGTATACCATCTTAAAGATGACATATAGCTAAGTCTAAGGCAAATCCCCGAACAGTCATGTTGATGCTCAGATATCCCTAGATACGGCCCTGTCTCCGGCTCCTCTCTACACGTGCACGAGCGTCTGCCCTCTACGTTATGGGTGGTCGGCAGCGGCTCCTTAGCAACGCTTTGTTCTTCCTAAACGCACACAGGCTCCGCGCTCCGCGTTATGGTTAACGGGCTAGCTAGGCCTGGAGACTCAGCTACACACTAACTGGTCGGACGGTTTATATTAAATATAAACACATCTTCAGAATAACACTAAGTGTTCACACCAACTGATCACCTAGCTGCATACACTATTTCATCACCGTTGCTGATCCTTCTCCAGAGTTCATATATTTTATTTTTACATCATGTACTACCTATTCTACACATTTGTTTCGCAGGGGCATGGTTCGGTCAACAAGATTACGCTCAGAGACTGGACAAGATAATCATCGTGTGGGTGGTCGGACCACCTATCGGACGGACTTCACCGCCAACCAACTGGTCAGACTGCTTGGCACTCACTCCTGCTCGGCGTTCACTCCGAAACAACCAGTTGGTTGGACTGCTCATCACATGGGCTTCATCGTCAGCTACGTTGGGGGCTCATCAGCTACGCTGGGGACTCCTCGGTGTTCGGATTCTTTGTGCAATGTCGCCAGCTAAGCTGGGGACTCCCTTGGTGGTCGGATTCTTCGTGCAAGAGTCATAAGCTAAGCTGGGGACTCCCTTGGCGGCTGGGTCTTTGCTACGTCTCATTGGTGTGCTATCAAGCTACTCCATGCTGTTCGAATCAGGGTGCTGATCTTGGGCAGCACATCTGGGGTCTTGATACGCTCATATCAGATGACGCCGGCAAGCTTTCAGACTTCTTTTCTTTGACCCTACTTCAAGATTCATTCTTCATCTTCCAGCAGGTTCGGGGACTAAGTGACTACACTTCACCTGGCGGTGAATGTAGTGCTTATTTCTTGATTTACACTCTTTATTGACGGAGTCTAAGTGGCTACACTTCTCCTAAGGGGAAGAATTTTTAAATTTTATTTTGAGCCCCTTACATCCTTCTAGCAAGCCTTACTTGGCTAAGTCCGAGATCTCCTAACTAGTTAAACTGGTCAACATTGATTTTCGCTGCCTAGGTCACCAGTTAAACTGGTCGGCATTGACTTTCACCGCCTAGGTCATCAGTTAAACTGGTCGGCTTTGATTTTCACTACCCAGATCACCAGTTAAACTGGCCGGCTTCACGTCAAACTGGTCGGACTTATTCAAGATGGCGCTGCTCAAAGGATGCAAGGCGCTCGGGGACTAGCTGTGGGGGGTATAACCCTAGGTACCCACGGCAAGGGACATGGGCCGCACGATCAGGGATGGTCCAACCCACAAGATTCAAGACTTGCAGCGCACGACACTGCTCGATGTACACTGCAAGACATCTAGAAGATTTGATTGGATACTATAGATATTGTAATCTAATACTTGCCATGTAACCGACTAGGATACATTCATTGTAACCCTACCCCTCCAGAGTATATAAGGAGGGGCAGGGGTCCCTTAATTGGCATGCCCCATCCCACATCCAATCACACACGCAATATTATACGATAGCCAATACAAACCACAGACCACAGGAGTAGGGTATTACGTCGTGTAGACGGCCCAAACCTGTCTAACTCTTGTGTCTCTGTTGCCTTCTTGTTCTTGATTACGCGCACCTCTGCTGATCAATTTACCTTCACGGGATACCCCTCGGAGGACTGCCGATGATATTATGTCGACAGACACTTTGTCTGTCGCCCTTTCCTCTCCCACAGAAAAAGGCACATGATCTCCTTTCTTTCCTCACAAAGGTGGGTAACAATGAGCGTGTTTCTTTCCTAGACGTTCCGTCGGATGGGGAGAGCCAGGCTACCAGGGACAGACCCAGTATGTGGTGCAACACTACTTGTTTGGTTCTATTTCTGTGTGGAGCCAAGCTGGTTAGAGATCCTGTTTGTTTGCCTAGACAATGGTATATGGTCACCTTGCAGCAGGATGTGGTAGAGTTACCTCCAATTTTTTTCCCTATCTCTTCTCTCAGACATTTCTACAAATAGGTTGAAGGCACACGCTGTTCATGGCTGCAGCCTTACCACCATAGTCCATGGCAACCACCTGCTGGTGTCGCGCTTGTACTGGCAAAGGCACAGCACCGGCGGCTCTGGTACGACGCCGGCGGCTTGGGCAGCGGCGCGTCGCTGTCGAGGTACTGCACCACCTGCCGCATCGACGGCCGCACAGCGGGCACTGGGTGGGAGCACAGCAGGCCCAGCTTTAGCACCAGCTCGGCCTCCTCTGCGGGTACTCACCGCAGAGCCGTGCATTCACGGCGTCGGCGAGCGCGCCCGCCCCCATGTGCCAGAGCTCCAGCACCTAGTCCACCAGCACGAACCGGCGTCGGCGAGCGTACCCATGTGCAGAGGCACGTGCAGCACCCCAGCGTAGATTGAGGGCGCAGTCCTCCTGCACGCCGGGTTCGGGGGCTGGGAGCCCGTCGACGGCGAGGCGCCGGCGTCTATGGCGACGATGGAGAAGCTGTGGGCGGTCGTGTGCCTCGAGGCGACAGACGCCCTGGACGACCCGTGGGTCAATCCCCTGGCTGCCACGGCGCTGAGCCTGCGGGACTTGCCATGCGAGAGGGTGCTCGTCTGCGCGGCGGAGCTGGACTCCCTGCCGAACGGATCACGAATTCTCATTCCATCGCAACATGCTGCCATTCGCAAACGACTAAACAGATCATGTTAGCGCAGCGCGTCGTGTGTGGCCTGTGTGTGGGCATGGCACGGTGCCTGCCACGGTCCAAGCATCGTGCACGGGATGGACCAGCCTGCAACCGCAGCTGCCCATCTCGTCGTCATCCCAGCGCGCGGCCCTAAATCGAAGGCATCTGGTCCGAGTGATCTGCTGATCACAAAGCGTCTCGTAGCCTACGTATACTCCACTCGCTCTTGTTACTGTCACCCTCTGTTGGCAATCGGGCATGGAAGGTCAAAGATTCATCAAAACAACTGTTCGCTGTTCGGTGCTCACCATCTGCCTCTAGGCTGGAGTTCATTAGACACCAGTTCTTCATCGGCGCACGTATGTGGCCGTCTGGAAATACGGCATGTCGGTCCAAATCGTGGCCGACAACTAAATATTGGTAATTTTGTCGCGCGTTGTGATCGGATATGGCCTAACACTCAATGACACATGATTTATACCGGTTCAGGCAACAGGCCCTACGTCCAGTTGAGATCGGTCGGTGACTTTATTCCTGAGCCCAGGTGCTCGAAGTTTGACGTGGGGTTACAAACGAGTAAGGAATGAGAAGGGAGGTGTTAGAGGCCTGGTCGGACTCTGAACCGAGTGGCCGAGAGTGACGGGGTGAAACAATCGAGATGCCCAAGAGAGGGGGTGAATTGAGCTAATTCTAAATTTCTTTGCAATAATTAAACCCTACGGTTAGCCAAACTTAACCCCTTGTGTCTAGAAAGTGTTTCTAATGTTCTACCGCATAAAAAGTCTTGCAACCTAAGTTCCAATCCTACTTTAGCATGACAATTCTATGAATGTAAAGACAAGAATTGAATTGCTCAAAGTAAATGCTCAAAATAAAGAGAGGAGGAACGTGGCGATGTTTTGCCGAGGTATCGGAGAGTCACCGCTCCCCACTAGTCCTCGTTGGAGCACCCGCGCAAGGTTGTAGCTCTCCCTTGATCCGCGCAAGGATTAAGTGCTCTCTATGGGTTGATTCTTTTACACTCCGTCGCAGTGAATCACCCACAACCGCTCACAACTTAAGTTGGGTCATCCACAAGCTCCGTCGGATGATCACCAAGCTTTCAATCACCACCAAGCTGTCTAGGTGATGGCGATCACCAAGAGTAACAAGCATGAACTCTCACTTGACCACGACAAGCCTAATGAGAAGGGTGGATGCACACTTTGCTACTCTTGCTTTCACTAATGAGGGCTCTCTTTTAGATTCTCAAATCTCAATCAACTCACTAGGACCTTGCTCTTCTTAGCACTCTCAAGGGTGTTTCTCAGCTGTTGGAATGAGCAAAAGTACCCCCTCACACGAATGGAGGAAGTATTTATACACTCGTGTTCAAAACGAACTGTTATGTGCCTCTGTGGGGTGATCGGACGCTCCGGTCAGTTCACCCCGAAACCCAGTGATTAAGTTGTGACCAGACGCGTTCGGTCACAATTTTCTCTCTCTGGAACCTTACTGGAGTCGACCGGACGCTGACACCCAGCGTCCGGTCGCTCACCTCTCAGCGTCCGGTCGCACCAGACGATTTCGCCTTGATCAAATGAACTGATCAGACTTTGCGCCAGCGTCCGGTCACACCAGAACCGGTGTCCGGTCACACCGGAACCGGCGTCCGGTCAGTATTTGACCCTCCATTCACTTCCAACTCGTAATCATATGTGAATGAAGTTTGCTCCAATTGATCTAAGGGCTATTTAGGAGCTACCTAGTGCAAGATTAGACAAGTGTGCACCACACCTAACTCACTAGACTCACCTAGGTCAAGCTACCCGTCCATACCCATCTTAATAGTACTCTAAGTGTCTCTTCAACACCAAACGACACTTAGAGCTAGTCCATCCTTAACCTTGTCGTCTATCCTTTAAAAACCGAAATGATTTCCATCGTAGGGGCATGACAACCATGTTTGCCCAATCAATCTCCATTATCGTGACCTAACTTAATTGTCTCTGCAAAACACACGTTAGTCACAGTAATCACATGTTGTCATTAATCACCAAAACCCAATTAGAGACCTAGATGCTTTCAATCTCTTTCTTTTTGGTGATTGATGACAATACAACCTCGAGTATGTGAAAGAGATGAGGTTTTCAACATGCTTGGATTATATAAGCTTTTGACAATAAGAATAAAAGAGTTAGGCAAGCTTATATGACCCAAGCCAACATAATATACTCAGAAGATATAAAATAAGCATGAGTACAAGTAATAAAGCTCATTTGCATCGGAGTAAAACGCGGAAGCAAAGCAAATGAGCACAACACAAGTGATATGACATATAAACAATTCAAAGTATAGAGCACACATGTCACATATCACATAAATATCACAATCACGTAGATATCACTATCACATAAATATAGTTCGATGCATGAAAGTAAACACATGAATGCATAATAGTGTATCACACATAAAAACCAAATATAATAGATAAGCTCTCCCTAAATGAATTGCTCCCCCTAAGTCTAACATATCGATCCCTCTCCCCCTTTGGCATCAAACACCAAAACCTAAGGGTCGGTCGGCGGGGCTACAGCGGACGAGTCGGGCGCTGAGGTTCGAGGAGCGAGCTGAAACTGTGTGCCATCATCATGTAGCACCCGGTTTTAAAGACAAAACCAAATCTCACATATAGCCACAAATAAGGGTAATATCAAGAGACAATACTTATTACATAACGTATTAGTAAAAGAAAAGTACCCTCAAAGTATAGACAGCGGAAAGTCGACTCCGATCTTCAGGCGAAGACTCCAAATCCACAGGGACGACTGACTGGTTGACCACAAGCCTAACTCCTCCAAACCAGCAATCTGGTACCCATCCGGGATTTTTATCCAATGTATAGAAAAGTAAAACAAGTGTAAGTACATGTCGTACTTAACAATTATATCATGGGGTTCATGAGGCTCGAAAAGGCTGACACTGGTTTAACTGCGATTAGCTTTAATAGATCATCTTTTTAAGCAGTTGGGTGGCAAAGAATTTATCATTCCCATAAACACATGATCAAGTAAACATGAATAATGTATAGCATAAACAATCAATTATTAGCATCATCATTATCCATTAGTGATCATCTCTATTCCATAAGGGTCCAAGGCCGCTCGTGTCCATGAGCACGACTGTTATAACAGTTTTACACTCTGCAGAGGTTGTACACGTTCACTGTGAGTCGTGATTTACCCTTTCGCCCAAGGTAGCTAATCTCTTGACCCACTTCCGAGGAAGGTCGGCAGGGTTCACTATGAAGCCTTTCAAAGGATTCGTCTAACAAGTTAGGGCCGCTAGGCGTATGTGGCCCCTCTCTAGAAGTGACATGTGTGGGCATCGTAGCACGGTACACACTTCCCAGCAGCAACGGAAACATACCCTGCGCCTTAAAGGTAACCACTAACAAGCTAGAAAAGATCCTCATACTGAGCTAAAGCCAGAGCCATATGGCCCTCACAGCTGTACTGTAAGTCCCGGATGATCGCTTACAGATAAGTCCTTAGGGAGAGGAATCTGAAGCATATAAACACTCTAGCCCCCTGTTTCCATGTTACTAAAAAGTCATGTTTTAATGTTTATTACATATACCATTAGTCAAGTTACAAGATCATGGTTTTGATTAAGCACTAGCAAAAACTATCCCATACAATGTCCCAAAGGTATCAAGGTACAAGTTATCAAATATCTAGGGTATCCTTACTGGCAACAAGGGAGACACATGCAATATGAATTTAGTGATTAAATGTGAATAGGTAACAAGGATGGCCCATGCTATACTTGTCTTACACACCGATCCTTCGGTAAGCTTTAATCTTCACGTCCTTCTTCTTCTTCTGGATCACCACGTATATCTCACCGACTGCACGTATTCATAGAACACCACACAAACATCCATACACATACATGCATAGCATACAATTGCATCTATATCAGAACAGTACACCAATCATAGAAAAATAAGTAAAAGAGATTGAAATACGATTCTACGTATCGCTACGAACACACAGTTGCGAGAAGCACTCTAATCGGAGCTACGGTTGAAAAGTTACAACAACCGAGAGATTTGTTTTATACGTGGAAAAAGAAAACTATATGCTTTATTTATGTTAGCCATATGAATTCATATATAAAAGATATTTTATAAATAATATAGATTAAATTAATCAATTTTAGATTTAAATTATAAAATAAAAGTAAGACAAATCATATTTTATGTATAAAACCCAGTTGCATAATCATTAATCAAGATATGATTTAAACCATGTTATTTCAGAAATAACAATATAGTAAACACTATTACTAACGTGTAGATCTCGTCGCTATGAAACAAACGCAACTTGAACGGACTATTTCGGAGTTAAAATGAATAAGTTATGACTTAAACAAATTTTCCTTTAATTAAATAATAGATTAAATCTACCCATGAATTTTAAATATTTAAAACATGCCTAACAATAGTATAAACACGTAGAAAACGTAAATACGATCCTAACTCAATTCGAACGGGTCAAATCGGACTTAAAACGCAAAAGTTATAGTCTAAATAAATCGGATGGCAAAACTGTAAATAACTAAAACGTATTTTTGGAACCAACCGAGAAAAATACGCTTTTAAAAGGAGAAAGCGTAAACTGAGAATACGTAATGGACTGCGGGTTCTATTTCAAAGAAACCGAGGGGCTCTTATCAATATTTGCCATGCGAAGGGGTATTAGTGATTCTGGATCGTCGGATTAGATTTGAACGGCGGTGATTTGATCGCGGGGGGTGAAGGGAAGAGCTGGCCGGCGGCTATAGAGCACGGCACGACGGTCAACCATGGGCGGCGGCGATAAGCTTGCTGGTGTCCATGGTTCCGGCGACTCCGGCCTCCCCGACCGAAACCAAATACGCAGAAATGATCTACGGGTGTTCGCGAACTCAATGGAGTACCTAGACGGGAACGGAGAGCACGTCGGGCAACGGTCCATGGCGGCGCCATGGCCGGCGGCTC